TTTTTTTTGGCGGAACCAGGGATTTAACTCAGGCCCTTGAGCTTGCCAAGAAAGCGCTTATTCTACTGAGCCATCTCCTCAGCCCCAAAGATTTTCTTTATACTTCTAGTCACTCATTAAAAACTTACTGTCACCATCCACTGAGTAGAGTCACTTTGGGACAAAGGTAAGAGAATGAGTGGAAGTCGTTGCATATGAAGAGGATAATGTTTTAACATTATTGAAAAACAGTTCATTTTAAATTTTCAGTGTTCCGCTTTACTATTTTGCTAGAGCATTCACCTTGTAGTCATACACCAAGGATGAACTCTCTACCAGGCACACAGTGTGTGATGAAAACCCCAGTCACTTCAGAGTAAAACTGCTCCTACTGTGGAGTACCTGCCATCCTAGCAGGGAGAAGAGACCTGTGAATCAGTGAGCAGTGCTGTTATAGTAGAAAGCCTGGCAGACATGCAAAGGAGGTTCTGGGAAGGTTGCTGAGGTTTGGTTTAGGAGGCTGCTTGTCAGTGAGATGACTGCAGAGGTTCAGGAGAGCTATTGTCAGCTGCAGGGATATCTTACTGTATGACTTCCCACTGGGTTGTCTGGTCTCCATAGGCTCACTCCTGCGAGTAAGAGGGAGTCTAGTCACTCTGGGAAAACGGACAAACCAGGCTCACTTGAGCAGATTGCCACTTGCATTACCGTGTTTGTGCCTATTCAAGGGAGCCAGGGAACTTCTGTGATGTGAGCACTGCCACTCAGTTTTTGATAGGGAAACAATTATGGCAATTAAAAAAAAATATATATATATATATATATATGTAATTTCTCTGCAGAAAATGCTCCTTGGCTTCTAATGTTACTTTGCATTAAATTTAGACTTCAGGTACTAGCCCAGAAAACTGTGCATGATACTTTTCATATTGTTTCCTATTCCCTGCCCATTAGAAGTGTGGTACAGCCACTATGGGCTTTCGGCCTCTAAAGGCTTTCTTGGCATAGAACTCTATTCTCCTCTTCACTTCCTCTTCCTCTTACTTCTTTTCCTTCTCCTCCTCTCCACTCCCCACAACCCAGACATCCCCCCCCCGCAACTGTTATTTTTTATTTTTGTTTAATGTATCTCAGTACAGGGTCTCACTGCACAGATCAGACTCATAGTGATCCTCCTGTTTTCAGCCTCCCAAGCACTGGGATTATAAGAGTGTGCCACCTCGCCCAGTCTCTGTGACCATCTAAGGGCACTCTGGGGGTGGTGTCAGTATGGCACAGATCCTCAGTCTCTGCTTCTTCCTAAGCATGTGCTTTAATCCACTCAGCTATCTGGCCCACCTGCAACTGTAATTTTTAATTGCACCTCCTTAATGAAGTATTCCCTGATGTCATTCCCTACTAGTAATTCCTTAGATGAGCACCTCCTGTAGATTCCTTATGTATTTAGTAGGGTGCTATCTCCTGAACTGGAGTCTAAATTCACTAAGGAGAGGGGTCTCTGATTTTCACAGTATTTTGTACTCAGTGCCCAGCTTAAAGACTGTTACACAGTGTGTGCAGGTATACTAGAGGAAAGATTTGAAAGGCAAGGCCTGGAGCTCACTGCAGTCTACTGTGAGTCTGCATCTGAGAGCCAAACTGTGCTAGGAGCTTGAAGACTGTGAGCTAGAAGCTTGAAGGAACTGGATAAGAAGGGTCAGAGGCGATGGAAAAGACCAGAGCTCCTCTAAAGAAGCACAGAGTTGGATTCTTTCTTTCCTTTTCTATTTCATCATGGCTCCAAGCCTACTGGTTGGTACTACCCACACCAGTGGTGAGTCAATTGTTTGCAGATTACATATCATCCAGACACACCCATAGCTGTGCTCCACTGATACTCCGGGAGTTTCTTAATTCAT